TTCCTCGAAAAAATTTGGATCTGTATGAAACAAGTTGTTAGGTGGCAAAATGAATAATTGAACTGTTTTGTACATCGAAAGAATAAGCACCTCAAAGTCGGGGACGGACGTGGATCGTTTAGGCGGCATTCACAGTTTGATGCGCCGCTATTGAAGCCTCAGCGACAGGAGAACATTCTGTCACTGACTACCAACCTCCAGTAAATATAGCAGGCAGGGTAAATATATGATAAGATCATTGGGACCTGTTACACAACAGTGTGCGGCTGAGCTTTTCTATGGAACACCAAAACAAAAGTACTGATTGATGCTTGCATTGCATTATGAACTCTTTGTTACATGGTAGATAATGTGGTGAGCAAAACCATAGCTAACTCACTTCAAAGACCCCTTCATCTACCACTACACATTAGTAGCCTTCTGTTATTGCTTATTCAGCACGTTCCATTATGTCTGTCAGCAGCTTTGTCTTTGAACTTTCTGTCCCAATAATCCGCTTGACAAAGTGGGAAACGGTTGTCACTCTGTGGCGGCTTGATCCCACACTGCCCCCAGGGGCCCTACACCCGTAAGGCACTAAGTTGCAGCCGAGAGTTCACAAGGCGCCCCGATTGGACCTTGGCAAGAAGAGCACGGCATCATCTTCACGAGTGTCCAGTCGGCGCGCTCCATATACTTCGGCCCCAATTTTGTGTTTGTTGAGTCTAGGGCCCCAGGTAACAGATTGCATAACTTGCTCCTTCTTGGTGGAAGCCTCTGGGGTTGCTGCAATCTTAAAGAGGCACTCGAGTAGATTCTGAGATCGTTTGTTTCTGGTGATAACTCATGCTACAAACTCTAAGCATCCTAAAAAAAAAAAAAGCAATGAAATTGTACTTATGGGTGGCCAATTTCTCTATTAAAAATCGAATCAAAGATTGTGACAATCCCTTCTTTCTGCGTCTTGGTGCAGCTATCAGGGGGCGCCATCTGACTGTGATTTCAAGCGATAATAGCTGCATTACGTCTCCTATACCCAAAGATTTGACATTTTTTTGTAAAAATATACACAACACACCCGAAAAAGAAATAATAGTAAAATTCAAAATCTTCATCCAATTAACTCTTTTAGTTGATAAAATTTTATGAAGGTGGTGGGGACCCAAGAATCACCCTAAGAGAAAATAGTGCCCATGTATTTCTATTGTTCCGAGTTTACTGGGATGTCTTGCCATCTAGAACTGGTTATTTTTTATTGACGAATGCCCAACAAGTAATATGCCATCAAAAACATGCATCTACAAAAAGCACTTCAGTGCCCCTTTAAGCTACTGTGATGTTACATATGTATGTTACATTATGTGTGCTGTCTGAGATTCTAATTTAACTGGATAGCCCTTGAGCATTGGGAGGCTTATTTCTGGAATTCCTTAAATATATTGTGAAGTTGTGATGCCAAGGGCTATCCTCTTTTCACTTGCTAGGTCACACAAGGAGAAGAAAAAAAGTAGCACGGTTTACCGATTAAATTGGTGTGTACACAGTTTGAGCCACCCGATGCTTTATTATCTACATTTTTCATGGTAGGACATAATTCTATGTGGCATCGTGGCAGTCTCCTGTTACAATAGTAGTGCCCAGTGGAAGAAAGAGTCTTGTCCTTTTAAATATGAAGAAATTATTGACATCAACAGGACGATGAGACAACCATTGCAGCTTGTCAATTCTTTCATAAGGTGCTCAACTCTTGAGTTACTTTAATCTAGTACTTGACGAGAAACAAACAAAAAAATAATACTATAATCTTTCTTTAAAAAGAAAAAGAAAAGAAAAATGCTCGAGTTATGTGTGTCTGTCTAGCTTCTAAAACACTTGTGTATCTGGAACAATGCTAGATTCAGCAACAAGTATGTTCTTTCAGTCTTCTCCCATGTTTTTTTGCTATGGCAGGAGCAGCACTTAGTTTCACATTCTACGCCAACTGACATTGCGTGTTTACCTAATACATCTATCTCCTCTTGCATCTCTCCATTCTTTCTTTTCAGTCTTTGCTGCACTAGCGGTTTGGGGGCAAAATGAAATGTAGAAGATCTACAGGGTGCTTCCTTTGCCCCCCTATATTTACAGGTTTACAAGGTTTTTTCACCGAGAAAACAAACTATGCGTCGTCAAATACTCATTCTCTGCCCAGATGTAGTGCTAGTGTTCCAAACCAGATGTCGCTCTCGGAACTAACCATTATTGTAAGGAAAAGTTGTATGGGATTTTCTAGCGATTTCGATAAGAAAAGGATGGCCCAATGAATTCTCACATATGTGGATCTGAATGGTGCTAGTTACTGAGAATGGGCCACATTCCCTTAGAAATTTTCAGAAAATCGCTTATAACTTTTGATTATGATTTGTTGTGAAACTTTGGCATCTCGTTTGGTCTGCTAGTGGCTACATTTGGGCAGGGAATGAGCATTTGGCGATGCGTCATTTATTTTTACGGTGAAAAGCACCCTGCACATTCTTTTGAGGGAACACGCTGCACAGCGTTTTTATGCCAATCCTTGAGCTTCAATTGATCTACAGTGCTTACAATGTTTCACTATCTTGGAAGGAGTTGCCATAACATGTCATGGAAGGACATAAACTGCAGTTTGTAACTGTTGTTGTTTTACAATTGGCTGGTTGTTCGTGGAATTTACGAATAATTTGTACATTCAGTGCTTTTGTAAAATACAAACGAATTGTAAAGTCCGTTTAGAAAGAAAATGTGAGGCACATTTTGTGCACAGCAACCCATTTTAAATAGACTGGTGTGGTCACATGATTCTGTTGGGCTTTCTGTTTGCTGTTATTGCTCTAACATGTGGAGTAAGCACCTTTCAGCAAACTAGTGCCCTGTTAGGTCTGAGGTAGGCAGGAAGTGCAGTTTGGCTAAGGCTTTGTGACACAGTGTGGGTGTGGGGTGCGCCTAGGGGGGTCATTCATGCGAGGAACCTGAGCTGTGGAGAGACCTAGGGTATGTGGCAAACGTGGCATTTCAGGATGAACTGAGAAGCGGTGTGCTGGCTCAATGAATAGTTTCGTAGTGCTAGTTTTGGATTGTTTCAGATCAGGCATAGGAAGCGCATTCTTCGTAGCAAAATTTGAGTGCAAGGAAGTTGCAAAGGAAAGTGAGGATGCAGCGTCTGCCTTCATTTTGATGTGATGTAACATCACGTTTACGATTTTATCCTCTGCCAAAGTGGAATTTTAACTTTAATCTATTAGTGGTTCACTTTTATAAGCTTTTGATTGTTTAATTAGTTTCTGTGCCATTTAGGTGCCCTCTTTGTAACAAAAGGAATGGGGAATGTCAGAGGAGTGTGGCTTGTCTCGCACTGTGTGCTTTTGTTGCATTTATGAGAAAGTAGCGAGTGCAACATTATAACTTCCTACATTTAGTTTCGCTATACTATAGAGCCAATGCAGTCCGTGGATCTTCCTTTGAAGTATTTCTGGGCTCTGCAAGTGGCAGTATTTTCTAGTGCCACAACACGTTCCATTGAATCTTCCTCGAGAGCTATTGTTGACATGGTGAATCGAACTCAGTCAAGCAAAGCCGTTTGGGAAATTGGGGAGTTGAGCTGCTGGTTTTGTTAAAAGGAAACTGAAGGCGGTTCTGTAGTTGAGAAAAAATACTTCAGCCATCTTTATTTGGCCTTCATGATCACAAATATCAAAATTATATTTCAGATTGATGTGCCAAGTATCCAGAACAGTGTTTCCAAAATAGCACCGAAGCCCTTCCTTCCCTACAAGTTGAGTGAAAGGAGGGAATCGTAACATATTATACAGAGATTCTCAACATTTCCGTGCTTTCCGCAAGCTTTACCCGAGCAGTCAAAAATGCCAGACGGGTTCCCTCACTAGCGGCAAGGCAAGGAATCCTCTGTGCAAGGCAGTTGAATCCTCTGTGTTTATGACATCACATCCAGCGTTTTTTTTTTTTTTTCTTTTTCGGTTTTACTCTTGTCTACTAAACGTCCGGGTGAAATACTTATGATATTCAAAATCACAGCACAAAAATACACTAGAATTCACTTTTATTTTCAAGAACTTCCAACTAGAAGTTTGTAAACTTTATTTGCTCATTTTTCTGTAGACCAGTTTGTAAGACTGCTGGAAAAAGACATCAGTTAAAGTTGTGTAATATATCATTTCAGAAGGTGGATTAGCTGATTCTCTGACTCCAAAACAACATGCTGGCCACATATAAATTCCTATTTGGTGGGTTCAAGCCAAGGCCCCGGGAAGTTGGCAAAGGCTGATTGTGGGGTCTCTCTTGTGTAGCTAATGTTTCGGTTGCATATATGTTAGCCCTGTTTTCTTTACTAGAGCATTCTTTTTGCTCTTGGATATGACCTCTCGTCCGTACGGAGAAGTGCTATTTCTGAAATTGCCAGTTTAGTGTTGCTTTGGCTCAATTTAGCTTTTTACTCTTTTCTACCATCAACATTTATGTCATTCTGTCCCCCATTGGGTATTATCAATAAGCTCATGCAGATAGGCAATTTTTAAATGGCTATTCTAAAAAAGATTTTTATTTATTGGGTTGTCTCTTTTTTATAATATGACACTGTTTGCGCAAGCAAGCACTGTCGTTTCTCTTCTTTTTTTTTTTTTTAAATTGAAGCGTTGTTAATAAACTTGCAAATGTGGTGGCTGAGCTCCAGGCTAAACAGTAAAGTTCATTACTCATCCTACTCTATTTTAGTCAAATGCAAAAAGTGCCAGTTCTTGTTCGTGCTTAATGTGTACGAGGAATTAATGTGTGGAAGTTCTTTAGTCACCGGTAAAGTGAGAACAGCAGGGACGAGCCATCCCATATGCATGCGTGGCCAAAGCACGCTAAAAGGCAGCGCGCTGTAGGCTGGGCAGACAAAAGAATGCCGTTCTTAGGTTGTCAGTGTCTACAGAAAAAAAAATACCATTTTCCCCATCGTTTTGCACCAGTTGCTCAACATCGGCATTCGGTACCCCTTCCCGCAGGTCACGGCGGTCGCGCAAGTCGCGAAGCCGCACGCGAAGCCCGCCCCCCTCTAGGTCACGGGGAGGCGGGGGCCTCCCCGTGACCTGGCGCAAGTCGCCTCTCTCGAGCCCACCGACATACCAGCAGCACCGGCGGCGCGAGCGCAGCCCCAGCTACGAAACCAAATTTGCCTCGACCAGCCTGGGCGCCGAGCTGCGCAAGCACCGCAAGGGCCGCGAGCTCGAGAAGAGCCGGCGCGCCACGGGCGGCACCCCCAGAGACCAGCAGCAGCAGCCGCCGCCGCCTCCCCCGCCGCTGCCCCCCTCCCCCACCCAACGGCCCGAGCGACGCCCCCCTCCCACCGCCGCCCCCACCCCTTCCCTCAGATTCGCAACACCCTCCCCCTCCTCCCCCGGAGGTCCCGCCCCCGCCTCCGTTGCCACCACCCCCCGTAGCCGACGCACCCCCTCCTGCGGAGGTGGCCAAACCGAGGACCCCCTCGCCGCCATCTTCGGAGGCGGAGTCCTCGCCGGAAGAGACGGCCGCCCTGGCGGTGGACAGCGACCCCGGCGGCGCCGACAACAACGGCGTGCCGGAGGAAGAGGAGGAGGCCAGCGAGGACAGTGGCCGCTCGTCAGTGGAACGGATGGTGACGAGCCCCGTGGTGGCGGCGCCCGTGGCCCCGCAGCGGCGGAGCATCAAGGAGCTGCCGATGCCTCCGGGCATGAAGGTGGAGGATGTGATGTCGCCCGAGACGGCGGACAGAGACGAAGGGTCGTCGCCCACCCCCCAGCAGCAGGCCACCACCATGGCCACCCAGCAGGCGGCAGCCATGGCGGCGGCGGCCTCTGCCTCGGGCACCACACCAGCCGAGGCAGCCCTGGCAGCGTCGCTGCAGGTGTTCCGGAGGCCCAGGTGGGTGGGACAGCTCAGCCGTTGTGGCACGGTGCCGGTAACGCATCCTGAAATGTGGTCTTTCGATTTCCGCCCGATGACGTTGCAGAAGTGCCATGCTCGTTGCAATCCTGGCTGTGACGCAGCAGCGAAGGTAGACATAGACACTTGTTTTGCTGCAGGTCACTCTCTAGCTTGGTAGTCTACGAAGCTCCAGCAGCTAGGAATTCGGTCGCCACAACGACGGCGGTGGCACTCACCTTTGCTCATACGTTTTGCTGGAACCTCTATGACGCCCGCCAGGATTGTGACATCCCAGCTTGTGCGACTATATTTTTTGCCTCTTCAGTGTCACTTTCGATGCATAAGTGGGATGGGACGGTAAACGTACCAGTTGAAGACTCATTTATCGCAGTTGTGGGAGCCGGTGTGATGTCCAGTCGGATCGTGCTCAACACAAGGAGCTATCTTTGTCGTGAAAGACATGGAACAGAAGTGCACCATACTCGGCGTCCATCTATTTCATGCCCAGCATCGAGGCTAGCGTAGCTTCTACAGCGCTCCAGTGCTGTCAAAACTACCTGCACGAGCATGTAGATTCCTTTGGCGTCCGTTTCGCACGAGACCTTGTGCGAATGAGACGCAAGATGAAGCCACTTGCTCCGATTTGCTGTCTGAAGCCATAGCTTTAGCAGTTGTCAAAGTTCTGGTGCAACAGGGTATAGAGGAAGAAGAAAGTTGTTACTTTGAGGGAGTGACATAAATACTGTCTGGATAAGTACTATGCTCAAGACTCTCAAATTTTTGCGACTTGCAGGATCCTCAACAAGCCTCCTTCGGACGACGACCGCTTCCCCAACTGGGGTGAGCGTTGCGTAGACGTCTTCGACATTGTCTGCCAAATCGGCGAGGGCACCTATGGGCAGGTCTACAAAGCCAAAGACAAGGACACCGGTGAGTTCTTCTTGTGGAATTTCGTCAGCTTTGAAATCGTGTGGAACTTTGGCCAGTTGTGCATAGCAGTGTAGCATTCTGTGCAGCTCCAGTAGCTAATGTCATGAAACCACTGTTTCTCTGCTACGAAGCAAGACATCTAGTCTTTCTCATACTGCTCATAATCAGTGACAAACCAAAAAAAAAAAAAAAAGTTTGCCACATTATGGTGGCCAGCGGCGCAGGTTTCCAGTGATTTGAGCCTAGCCGGTATCCTACTGTTTCTAGGAGTGACCAGCCATTGGGAATAATTTGATTCACTGAGTAGCCAGTCAGTATCGCAGTTTTTCTAGCACCTTGTATGAGTAACATAATGCAAGGAGCATTAGGGCTGTCCCACGAGCAGCGTTGTTGTCTCCGACCTCAGGGGAGCTGGTGGCCCTGAAGAAAGTGCGTCTGGAGAACGAGAAGGAAGGCTTCCCGATCACGGCGGTGCGGGAGATTAAGATCCTGCGGCAGCTGAACCACCCAAGCATTGTGAACCTCAAGGAGATAGTGACGGACAAGCAGGACGCCCTGGACTTCAAGAAGGACAAGGGGGCCTTCTACCTGGTCTTTGAGTACATGGACCACGACCTCATGGGCCTGCTGGAGTCGGGGCTGGTGGAGTTCAATGAGCTGCACGTGGCCTCCTTCATGAAGCAGCTGCTTGAGGGCCTGAGCTACTGCCACCGCAAGAACTTTCTCCACAGGGACATCAAGTGCTCCAACATACTCATGAACAACAGGTGGGTGGGGGTGCCTCACTTCTTGGGGCAGCCATACATAGGATGGATGGATATGAATGGTTGTACCCTTTATGACGGACGGTAGCTTGTACCACCTAGCCTAAAAACTTAAAAACCGTTCTTACCCTCCTAAACCTATGCATTTCTGTAACTATCGTTAGGTCTTGGGGGTGACCGCCAGAATGGCCTTTGGGGGTCAGGTACAAAAAACCTAAAAGCATGCATCTCACCTCCCTCTTTCCCCCGGCGAGGGAGTTGCCGATTTTCCTCTGGACAAGACCTGTCGGCGTCACCCCAACACCAGAACCATTTGGAGACAAAATTCAGAGTTTGGGACCACAGCCATGCTGGAGGGAGTCCCAATTTTTTCTGTCTCACCTGTCCCCCAGTTGTGCTAGTTAGTTGTAGGAGTTGAGGGCCTGTATGTCACCATAATTAGAACTGGGGCATTGGGAAAAACTGGAAGATAAGAATCTGGGGAGTTACATAAAATTAAACTTTCAACCTCGAAAAGAAAAAAAAAAAAGTAACAGATATTTGGTTAAACAAAACAAAACGGTAGTTGAAAAGGAGTCTCCTGGAAGGCACAGAGAGTTGGGCAATATTTTGTTAAGAAACTACTTAGCATTTTTAGAGCCCTAAAGGAGCAAAGTTTCTTGGCAACACGTCTGCTGCCACTGTAAGGCTTTGAGGAGGTTCCTCTTGAAGGTTCCACCAGGTACTGCTGGCTGCTTTACATCACTTTGCTGTGATGCTGTTTAGCAGCGTTCTGAACCTTGTGCATTTGTTTTAAAACAAAAGGTGTTGTGAAGCACATCCTTATTTGACAGATTGTTACATTTAAGCAGTGTCCATGAATTATGATACTAAGCTGATGCATTTTAGGATGCAATAAGCCACACAATTGTTTCTGTAGGCCCTTTCAATTTGGCTTATGTTTGTCTGAGGCATTTACGCATTGCAAGATCAGTCTGCCACTTCACAAAGGGGGATTGACAGATTGACCTCACACTGTCTAAACACTCACATCTAGTTGTTTTTTCTTTTCTGCTGCAGTTCCTCCTTGCTTTTCCCTATCAAAAGCTGACGATTAGAGTGCCTTCAACTCAAAGCACGTCAGTGACACAGCTTGAAATGGCAGTGCTTAAAGAAAATGCTGAAGGAGAGAGAAAAAGCAAGTAAAACTAGAAAGAGGAGGCAGTGCTGTGCAGCAAAGCAACCTAGGAGGGGCTTGCACTTCAAATGTAGGGTGGGGTCATCTTTGTCAAATTAGCAGCAAACTGCAACGTGGTTTTCGTATTGTTTAATGGGGACACCACCCAAAAAAAAATATTTCTGTAAAAAAAAAAAAAAAAAAAAAATCGATCTTGAAAAATGCCACATTTACATCCACCAACATCTAGAGAGTATTCCCAGAAAGTTTTATTTGTTTACACTGCATAGTTATTTTTTTATAAATTATTTTCAGTCCAGCGATGCTAAAGAAAAGGTAGAGGTTTGAGCACTTTGAACACATTGTTCTTCGTTCACTTTTGGGCATAAATTTCACTTTAAGAAAACTATTGTTTCAGTATGAAACCATCGAGAAACCTCATATTTGCGTCTTATATGTCTAAACTTTATGGAGCTTGTTACTATGAACTTAGATTTTGCATTTTCATGTTCTTTTATTATGAAAAATTGTAATTTGCAAAACTTGGTAAATGTGTAAAAAGAAATTTGTTTTTTTTTTTTATACTTTTACCTGTGAAATACCTATTTTTTAAAGCTTTCTTTTCATAGTAACCGGCAACAAGTATTCCAGTATGCATTCCACCAGAAAAATATGTGGTTATCAACACCATTTCTGAACAATAGATTCATTGAGCAGATTCTATGCAAAGCTATGCTTTACTTTGTTCTGGGGGTATAGCTCCTCATAAAATTGGTTCACAGGGCTGAAACTTTACATGCCTTTCTTCTCTATGCCAGCAAACACCACCTGCAAATATCATGCTGATTGAATGAGTGGTTCAAAAGTTGACATTCCCAGGTAGTGTCCCCCCTTAATGAAAAGTGTCCCTTTCGTGAAATTTTTAGGTGTCTCCAGGGTTTCTTGTAACCTGTCTCAAAACCACTTTTGACCCCATTGGTTGCCAGCAGATTACGGCCACCTAACCATGCCCCTAAACCCCACGTCTCCTATCGAGCAGTCAAGCATTTTCTTCTTGTGGACTCTCTGGTTCGGTTTGGTCTTGTGGCAGTCTCTGACCTCTTGTCCCTGCTCCTCTGGCAGGGGCCAGATCAAGCTGGCAGACTTTGGGCTGGCCCGCCTGTACAGCGCCGAGGACAAGTCCCGCCCCTACACCAACAAGGTGATCACGCTCTGGTATCGGCCCCCCGAGCTGCTGCTGGGCGAAGAGCGCTACGGACCGGCCATCGACGTCTGGAGCTGCGGGTCAGTGACCCCTCCCTGAAACGCGCTTGTTTCTACTCTTTTTCTCATTTTGTTTTTGTGATCGTGGTTATGCAATGTGGATTTGGTTAGTGCACCTCGTTCTAGACAGTTGGAAAGAAGAGCCGCACAGGTGACGGCACATTGCAACGGATGAATTTGGCAATCGTTTGTTGTAGTGGCATTGGTGTGTTTTGGACGGGGATGAACGCGGGAGTGTGGGGTTAACACCCAGCACAACCCACTTGCGTCTTTTTTTATTTTTTCTTTATTTTCACATTTAGAAGACTCGAACATGCTTTCTTTGTGCATGTGAGCTCTGGCAGTAGTAATAGTACAAAAATGGAATTTCCAAATATGGGTTGTATTTATATATAAGCTCCCAGCAGGTCATCGTCGACAGTCTGACACCATTGGCATTGTTGTAAATGTTTTATACTGCTTTTTTTTTTTTTTTTTTATATTAACGGGGGAAGCCTTAGTCAAATAGTCGGGGGAAACCCGAAAATATCTGTAAACTTAGGAATGTAATAATGATAGGTACCTGGCTGAGAATGACTAAGAAGGAAAACAAACACCATTGCCATAGTGGAAAGGAATATTTCTACTTATTGAGAGCTCCTACGTCCATTGCGTCCATGGTCCCCCTCTTTCATTTGATTAAAATCCCCAAAGCACACGTAGCTTGCAAATATTCTGCAGCAGTCACAGTTTCAAACTTTCACTTTACGGTTGCAAGCCTACATTTTACGTGCCAAGGATGTACATAGCGCGACACTTCTAGCGTGAACGTGAGATTGGTGCTTTTCGGCATTTTACTTCGAATGGCTGTTGCCGAGCGCCAAAGCTTACCGCTTAGGTCAGAGTGCCGAATGAGCACTTTCCCCCAAACTAATAGTTTTGGACATGGCCTGTGTTCAATTTATCTACACATCCTGGACCAGCCACGCTCTGTGCACATCACCATACTTCACCTAGAATCGCAGCCTATCTTAAAATTCTAGAGCTATTGTAATAATCTGGAGCAAAAGGTGCATTAAGGTTGCCTCGAAACGGTGGTGCATAGATACGGGCAGCGGTGGTCCCGGTGGGTCTGTATTGCTGGTGGCGCTTTAATGTACATATAAAACGCTCAAAACACCACTTGCAATGTCTCTACCTACCGTAAAATCCCGTAAGGATGCCCACCCAGGATGAAGAGAAAAAAAATGGTGAAAAACATGGGGTGTGCTGTCTTTGGGGATGTCAAAGCAAAACTTTATCAAAAATAATGATAAGGGCCAGGGCACCCGCTACAAACATGTGATGCGGGAACTGATACCGCAGACCTCTGACAGGGCGAATTCGCGTTTCACAATGCAATAAACACGCTGGAATTTGCTACAGACTCCTGTGTCACGGGAAAGGATGCTGCAAGTGGCCGACGCAGCAGATTCGCGTTTCACGGTGCGAAGGACTCTCGGAAACCCGCCGAGAACTCGCATCTCACGGGAACGGATATCGCAGATCACGGACGCAGCAGATTCAAGTTTCATGGTGCAATAAAGACGCGGGAACCCGCTACAATCTTGCACGTCACGGAAACCGATATCGCGCACGCAGATCGCGGACAAAAGCACGGGAATACGCTACGAACTCGGGAACGGATACCACAAGTCACGAACGCAGCAGATTCGCATTTCACGATGCAATATACATGCGGGAACGACTTTTGTGTTACGCGAGCCGATGTCGCGCGCAAATCGCAGACAAAAACACGGGAACCCGCTATGAACTCGCTTCTCGGACACACCTGTATCGCCGATCGCGCCGTTGATGCGCGATTCCCCGTCGGACATCGCTTGACGTCCAACGGGAAAGGAGGGTGGGCGATGTTTGGGAAATTTTGTGTTGCGGATATTTAGCCAAAAACACGGGATGGGCGATCTCTCGGGGGAGGGCGCCCTTACGGGATTTTACGGTAGTTGTTTTCTAGTTTTATTATGCACAAAACCACTGGCATCATGCCTCATATAAAATGGAAGTTGACAGGCGCTCAAACAACTTCGGCTCATCATGGCAAAAGGAATGTGTCTAACCTTTATCTTTTTTCTCGCTCGCTTTCTCATTCTTTCTCTCGGGACCAACGATATCAGCACTTGCGATTTGCAACATTCTGCTCTCGTCTTTACCCCGCCCCCTGCTTAACCGCTTTACCGTTCTTTGTTTTTGGGATTTTGTGGCCCTCAGCTGCTGAACTGTCTTCAGAATCAAATGCTTTGCCTTCAGTCTCAAATTTCTAGCCACAAACAAAACAAAAGCAAAGCTTGAAAGAAAAGTCAGTGCTGCCATCGGACGCAAACTAAACCACTAGTGCGCCTGGGTCGTCCAGCATGGTTGAGCGCATGAACTGGGAGAAACAGACGAGCAATGCTCGTCCAGAACATTTTGGGGATGGCTTCCTGGTTGACAAGCTAGGCTCGTCCTGAACAGTTATAGGTGCTGTGCAGCAATTGTAACATTGAAAGAACTTTCTGTTTGTATTTTTTATATATCTAGGCACAAGTGAGAAAAAACGTGCCACCTTGCCCAGAAAAGTGTTCCACGGCATAACCTCAAAGAAAAAAGAATAATTATTTGACGATCTGCACCCTCATGTGGCAGTTACTTGAACTACGGTGGCGCATTGTAGGGACACGCGGAGGTCAACAAAACCTGTTCCCCTCCACTGCCGCACTCGCCGTCAGTCCCGTGGCGAATCGTCTTTTGTGTTGATCACTCACTGTGACCTCTGGCGACGCTAATCCTTGAAAAGTTGGCAGTCATGGAGGAATAGGTTGGGGGCTCTGAAGACAGAGCTTAATGGAAAAGCAGGTGGTCCCCCAGAGACATTACTCGAAAGACGTCGTGAGAGTTGAGGGTACTTTGACCTTCGATTTGTTTCATTTTTCTAAAATAAAAATTACAGGAAGTTCTGTTGGTGGATCCTTCGGGAATGCGTTAGCATGGCCCTTGGAAATGCCACACGCGTCCCTCATCACTTTTTTTCTCTTGACTTTCTCTTATGCTTCCTGTATTTTTTGCTGCCTCTTTTTGACCTCGTTACAAGGTCAGTGTTAGCGTTTTCCCAAGGAGGACATGTGAGGCATTTCCCAACGTTCATGCTAATAGATTGCCCAAAAATCCACCAATGGATCTTCCCGTAATTTTTTTGCCCCCTTTTTGTACTCTGCCTGTCAGAGTATGTCGACGCCCTTGGATACGGTCGTCCATATCACTTGTGAAAAGAACCATGTCCACACCACTCGTGGAAGGAACTGCATCCATATCAATGGTACCGCTACTACGGAATCTCGGACCGAAGAACAACCGCGACGGCAGACTGGCAACTGAGCACGGCCACATTCCACCACGCCGCGGTGCAACACGTCTTAGATAGCAAAGACGTAGTGCTGAGTGAGATGGCGTCATCAGAGAAAACCAACGCTGGGCACAATTTGGACACGACAATTGCATCAATGTTGAGTGCAAACTTAACTCAAAGCCGAGCACTGATGCAGCAGTCGTTTCAAATCTGTGTCCATTGTTGGCCTCCTATGATTAAGCCATCTCATTAAGCATTACGGCTTTGTTATCTAGAAGGTGGTACCTCCTCCTCTCTTGCTCTGTGCCAGCTGTGCGCGTGACTGCTGAAAATGAAAGGGCTCGCTTTGACGAAGACCTGGCAGTGTCTGTCAGTTGTCAGTGCCGGGGAGAGAGGGGGAGGTTGACGCGTGCTCACATCAGCGCTTCGGACCAGTGGGAGCGTTGTATGCGACAACTGACAAAACAAAAGACACCACCGGGTGTCCTCAAATTGAGCGTCCTAATGCTAATACATTAAAACTAGCGCAAGAAAGAAGGGTTTTCTGTTTTTTGTTTCACGTGCGACACAGGTTAATTCCCACAGTTAATTGGCCAAAGTCCAAAAATAGTGGCATCGCCCCCTTTAAAGGGACAGACACCGGAAGTACATTGCCCAGCACCTTTTTGGACTGACGCGGACTGGTGCAGTGAAATGAAACGAGCCTAATGCTTGACCGCATGCAGCCTCCCTAGGGTTGCTCGACAGAAAGAGAGAAGACAGGCGGTGTTTCTGACGGAAGGCCCCCGGCGTCGCTCCCCCCCAGGTGCATCCTGGGCGAGCTGTTCACCCGTAAGCCGGTGTTCCAGGCGAGCCAGGAGATGGCGCAGCTCGAGTCGATCAGTCGGGTGTGTGGCACCCCATGCCCGGCCGTGTGGCCCCGGGTCATCCAGCTGCCCCACTGGGCCACCTTCCGGCCCAAGAAGCAGCACCGGCGGCGCCTGAGGGAGGACTTCTCCTTCCTGCCCCCCCACGCCCTGGACCTGCTGGACCAGATGCTCGAGCTGGACCCCGAGCGCAGGATCACGGCCGAGGCCGCCCTCCGGGGACCCTGGCTGGCGCCCGTGCGCCCCGAGCGCATGCCGCCCCCTGAGTGAGTGTCCGCAACAGTGTGGCAATGTGGCAACAACCTGCCCCTTTGAGCTCGACACTTTGGCAGCGATTATGCGTTTGGAAGTGCCCGCCCGCACTCGACACGGGAGGCATCGCCATTTTCGGGAAAGACTCAACCGTCAGAGGGTTGACTCGTTTGCAGAGGTGCAAAGCCTAGCGGAGTCGTAAGATGAGATTGATCAGTATCTGAACTTGCATGCAAATGTGGGACGTTGCGTCTCCCCCTCGTCGAATTGGGGTGGTCGGAGCCGAGTCATGTCTCCTCAATCGACAGAATTTGCCAAAAGTTTAGATTGTAGCGGAGCAGCACGTCTTCGTTTGAATCCCAGCGGCAGATGAGACGTGAGAGAAGCGGCCTAATGTATGCGTTTGTTATTGGAAAATACAGCCTGCCCTTTCCACTGCTGGGTTTAAGAGTAAAGGCTGGTTCACGTAGCACAGATGCCCCTGGTGACGTGTGACGTAAGCAGACGTAAGCTTTCGTAACTTGATGCAAAAAAACGGGGCTATCTGAATTACCCTTCAAACGGAGAAAACACAGAATCAAAACTTTGGGTAAAGCCAGTCGGTTCACGATTTCGGTGGTATTAAAAACTGCCAAAAAGACTGGGACGAAGAAGACACGGACAGGCACTGGTTTATGTCGTTTGTGTCGCATTTGCCCTCGTCCTTTTTATGCGCTTCTTAATACCATCGGGAAAAGGCACAGACGCAAACTCTAAATCTGCATTGGGGGTGTGGGTGCCTTGGGTTAGTGGTGCCGTACTTGCTGGCCATTGTTTTGAGCGCGTTCCCTTGTGCTCTTGCAGCCTGCCCCACTGGCAGGACTGCCACGAGATGTGGTCCAAGCGGAGGCGGCGGCAGCTGCGGCTGGAGCAGGACATGGCGGCCTCTTCGGGAGGCCCCCTGCCCTCCCAGGGCCTGCCCATGAACCTGGGGGCCAGAGGGGGCAGCTCTGGGGGCAACAGCCAGCCAGCCACCCTCCCGCCCCCGCAGGACGGCGAGGGCTCGGGGGGCAGGCCCTCCGGCCCGGCCTCCGAGCGGGACGGTGAGTGCCTTCCGGTCTCGGCTACCATCTTTCGGCTCGTCCGGTCAGGATCGAACCGGAAAGGAGACCCTCTCGGAAAATGGACCGGAAAGTGAACCGTAGAGCATTTTTTTCTTCCCATACGTTGTTTTCTCTTCCTTGTGAATCCTTGTGTGTCGCTTTCCAGAATAAACTATGTATAGCAGAAAGCTGAAGCTCCGTGAGAATGTGACGCTAGTGGTGGTGATAAAGTGCAAAAGCTTGAGCATATGACTTTACCTGAATCGAAGGATACAAAAGAAAAACACAATTTTTCAATGAGCTAACAACCATCTTAGCCTAATATTCATCAAACCGGAATTGGAGATTGTGGGTGCCTGTAGCGTTTATTTCGGTGAAAAAAAACCAGCCACTTAGAAAGGCGATACCGTTTTCTTTAATTTTGCTTCGATGAAAGTTTCTCTTAGGTAAATGTCTGTTCATAGAGGAGTTTGTTTTTCTGTAGTATCTTTTGATCGAGGTAATATCATGTGCTGAAGCTGTGGCATTTTATCATCACCACTAGTGTCACATTCTAACAGAGTTTGAGCTTGCTGCGATGTATGGCTTATCTATTCCGGCCGAAAAACCAGGTTTGATTTTCTCGATCGAACCCTATAGAAGATGTTTGCCTGCTCTTTGATAAAGATAAAGCACACGCAGAGGTGATGCGGTACGTTGCAGCCGACTGAAAAAGGGGGCGTGTCGCTTTCCAGAAGCGGAAAGTTCCAAGTTGGCCGACGGTCCGGAGAGCAACGCTGCGTCGGGTGTGAACAGTCAGCAGCTGCAGACGAACCTGAACACAATCACGGCTGCCTTCCAGAAGCACGAGACGCTGAGCATTGCCCAGCTGGCCCAGCTACTTAACATTAAGGTGGGTGGCAGTTCACACTGCAGGGACTGGACCATCCACTCGTTTCTTGTGGCTGGGTTGAGGGATAAACAGTGTTGTGCTGCAGCAGAAAGATTGTTACTTGGCACGAAGTTTGCCACGACCTGCAACCGTGACCAGAGTTGTCTGTGTCATAAGCGATTGCAGAAGCGAGCTTGCTTGATAGAGGGAGACATTACAACTCTAGTACTATTTGAATAATTTAATATGGTATAGGTCAGTGGTCTCGAACTTGTGAATGGGGGCCGATAGCCCACACCAGAAAGGTTGAGGGCCAACGTAAAACGGGAAGGGGGGGAGAGGGTGGAAGTTTTAGACATTTCACAGGGAAGAGACCTGTTGGTTTATTTGTGATTTTTGTAAACTTGCAGTTTTGTCAGTGACACCTTTAGATTTTATTTGTTTATATGACTACTCTGGGGCTGCAACCTGATGTGATAACAACATTAAAAATGAGACTGCCCTGCCAACATGCTGTCATTTTTAATAAGAAAAAGAGAGCAAGTACTACACTGTCGTTCCCATTGCTCAATTCACTCGGGAATTAACCAAGGTCAATGTGTCTCTAAGAAAACAATCGGTTAATTTGGCAGTTCTCGCTTTCTTTACGATTTTTATTACAACACTCCGAACAAAAACTTGTCTTTTAATGACAATTTTTTTTCTTTTTTTGAAGGCGGGAATCTTGAGCTTGTAGCTCCATCTTTGGCAGTTGCTGCTGCTGATCGAGAGTTTGCGGAATTGTTGTACATTGCAAAAAGCGGCTTGAAAGCAAGAAAAATAAAGCGAATAAAGGGCAAATGAACACAGATAAGTATAAACTATGTGAATATGTTAAACGAGCGGAGCTACTTTTCGAGCGAAAATGAATCGGTGAAAAGAGATCCCTACGGCACACTTTATTTCTAGCCTTCGAGATATGGAAGCCAGGGCTCGTAGCCGGTTGCCCGAGGGCCGCGTGTTTGAGACCCTTGGTTTGAGACCCATCAAATAACTGGAAATTTTCGAAGTGACATTTCGAGGCAACGTAAACGGGCACTTTGGGATAGGGCCTGTTCAGAAGAATATTTCTGCTACCACTTTCCTTTCGCGGCGTTGCGAACTAGCCGCTACTCATTTCCGTACCTCCTTTGCCTCAAGTTTTCTGGAGTGACCGGTTTTGTGCGGCGCGTGACGGGCCCTGACACGGCAGAGGCACTGCGCGGCTTGCAGGTGGACACGTCCACCCGGCAGCTTCTGGAGAACCTGAACATGCAGCTGCTGCTGGCGGCAGCTGCCAAGCAGGCCCAGAAGGTGCAGATGGCGAGCCACCAGTACCGTCAGCAGACGGCGGCAAACATGGTCGCCGCCACCAAGGAGGCCGCCCAGCCGCCGGAGCCGCCTGACCCCCTCGCCGCCGTGGGGGGCAGCAACAACAACAGCGGCGGCGCCAACAGCAACCCCGAAGAGATGGCGCCGCGTTCGTCGAGGTACTCGCAACCACCGCCACCGCACGGGCAACAGCTGCAGCAGCTGCAGCAACAGCCTGCTCATCCCCAGCATCAGATGCAACCTCAGAGGTTGCAGCAGCCGCAACAACCACAGCAGCAGCCGCCGCCACCGCCTCAGCAGCAGCAGTTGGCCGGACAGAGGAGGCCGGGCCTACCTCTGGAGTCTCCCACGCGGATGGCGAAGTGGAAAGAGGGACCGCCCCCTCTCCTACCGCAGCCCATGGGTGAGTTGAGGCAGTTTTTCGTTTTGCTAGAGCTAGTCGGTGCTAGCTGCGGTTAGTTGCCTGTTCGTTAGGGACTACTTGCGTGAGAAGGCCGGTACATTGAGACTCATCACGGGTCGACCAGGAGGGCAGCGTTTGGTGCATTATGAGACTCTAGAACCTATACTCCAATCACACGTAAGTTCACAGTGCGGCGGAAGCTGAGTGCTCGCTATACCAGTCGTGCGTCGCTCTTTTGCCGCTTGCTCGTGCCCCTGCCAACATCCACGTACAGGGAACGAGGTCAGGTGGTGAAGGGGAGGCGATTGATTGATTCGGCAAGCACGTAGCTAATGCCGTGCTGTCAGCTTAGGGGTGAACGGAGTATAATAGGGGTCTGGTCGACGTGTCCTGTTGGCTTCATCTTCGATCAAGTGGATACAATGGCAGCCTGCGGCGGACATCTTGAGCATTATCACGATACACATAAAGAAACGTACATTCTCTACTGAACATAGGCTCAGGCGGACGCACGAGGGAATTTTGACTTATACTTAACGATGGACATGAACATCTGGTGCCTTCCAAAATGTCTGACACTCAGCCAGTCACGTGAAGTGCTTTGCAGCTTTGTCTCTAGGATGAAGAGCCGAACAAGGAAGCAAAAGTATCGTTGTACAGGTGCAGACAAGTCACTTGGCAGTTGTACCATGCATATCAAGGACCGTTTTTTATTTTTTTTTAATTCCTGTTTTAGTGCGTTGGTGGGTTTTAAGCACCATAAGAAAGAAAAGGAAGGGCATGGGTGGTTTAGGGTTGTAAGTTCGTAAAAGGAAAAAGGCTGTTTTTTTTTATTTCTCTGTCGGGGTTGACGATGGCTTGACAGCTCTTCTTGGGAAGTGAGTACTGACGTTTACTTTGCACAATCTCCATGACCTATAGAAGTTAATAGTGGGTACAAATACTTGACTAGGGGAATACAGGACACTCCCCGATAATACATTGGAAAAGATTACAACGAAGAACCGCGGAAACACGCTTGACGGTGGCTGCAGTACAGTCTTCACATCCCCGTCAACCGCACCACGTGCGGAGGCATCGCCTGGTCACTCCACCAGGGGAGGATTCGGTGCGGCTGTCGTTCTGTCTAATGCAAATGAGGAAAGTGTCTTGTATTCCCCTAGTAAAGTATTTGCTGGGTACTTGTACAGACATGGGCACTTGCTCGTTTTGTAGCCACTGACAGGATAAAAATGGGACATATCTCAACCTATAAACCACCACTGTCCTTCTAACTAGATCGTTGCACTCCGTAACCAATAGAAGTACATATGTAGTTTCCTATAAACAATAAATACAAAACTGTATGCTGCAAGCCTGAACATGTATTGTTTCGACGACGTAAGCCCTTTGCGATTCGAATTAACTCGTGTGGTGTTGCTTGAAAAGGAATCGAGTGCGGTGCAGATGATCTAAAGTCATTCGCACAATTCTTGCAAGCTATCATTGTGACGCCATTCAGAGCTGGCATATTCGGGGGGGGGTCACTTCTTGAGGCTGTGGACAAGGCGCATCTCCATTTAACTCTGCGTTCATATCAGGACAATTTATTTGTGCACTCAATGTTAAGTTTGGATCAAAGAAAGAAAAGAAAGACGGCCATGAAATTCTGGAAATGGGATTGTCAGCAACGAGGTCGCGAGACTCGTCGCTCAACGGTGAACTGGTGGGCCATCCGGGTCACCAAAAGGTCCTTCTTGAAGACATTGCGTGAAGGTTTCGTACTAGACTTGCAGCACGTGATCATACTCTAGATCTACGAGTCCCACATTACCGGGACTCATGCCGGGACAAGTGGCATCACAAGTGGTGCCACTTGTGGAGTAAGTGAAAAGGATGTGATTCAGTCGTCGAGCGAGTGGAAGGGTCTACAAAAGCTCCCTTTTGCCATTTTCCTCCCATCTGCGACTGTATGTTGCGATTGGTGACACTGGCAGCCGTGTCTCATTCCTTTACCACGCAAACTTTTCGCGAGTGTTTCCATACAGTTCCTTCTGATTCTCCGACGGTTGCCATGATGTACTTGTTAGTTTGATCTCTGGCGGTGCATAAAGCACGTCTTCAGAGGTTGACATCTCAATCTGAAGGTTCTTTCTACCTCCGCTGGTCCAGGCAAGTACTGCTTTGTTCCTGTTTTTTTTTTTTTTTACATGTTTTATTACATTTGGATAGAGCATGATGGCATGCATGCTGAGTCATGATTCCACAGTCTTTTTGTTGGAGCCAGAAATCTTTTATTTGTTTTCTTTTTATTTTCTTATTCCTATAATGGAAAAGGAGTTGTGTCATTGAAGAGCGCTTTCCACAATCGTTAAACCCCAGGAAGATCAGAAACGCGGGGTGTGGCAGAAAAAGCCAGTTGCAAGAAGATGCTGGGAGTTGACGTCATCTCTAGTGAAAGTTAATATAGGGAACTTGCATCTCGTATTGAATAACTTCTATAGTCGGTTACAAGTCAAGAAGGTAGGAGAAGCTCCTCCCACAAGTGTGATGCGCCCGTTTCAAATCCCTCCGCAGTCGAAAGAAGAGTTCACTGGAAACGCTCCTTGTTCCGCTTCAATGGATTCCCACTTGTCTCCGATCCCACTTTTTAAGAAAGCGACCTTTGTATTCATCGGAGAAGGAACCGAGCCCCTGAAAGCAGCCTTTGTATCCATCGGGGGGGGGGGGAAGCTAATCCCCGAAGGTCGTACTGTTTCCGTCGGTGGGTGGAACTCTAATCTCCCTCTCGTGGCTTCCACAATGCTAAGTCAAAGTCGAAAGATAAAGCAAATATGTACAGAAAGGCAAGACCCTCCTCGCGCGTTGGCCGCGATGTCACGGAAACGGTGGGACGCTATTTGATGCGGAGGTGCGGAGGGTATCCGATTCCCTTTGAGGGGCATTTGAGGGGCATTTGCCGCTACCTTCTTAACCTGTAACCGACTATAGAAACAAAACTAAAATCGGTGGCTGGTTGCAACGACGAGCTTGAGGAAAGTTGAAATGTATCCTTGCTGTATCTCTCTTTCGTACTAAGAGTCCCAGGTCGTTTGCGTAATAAAGAGCTTTTGTTTGCCAGCCTTGAAGATTCTCTGGTACCTAATCATTGACGCGCTTCTCAGAAGTGGCACATTTATGTTGTGGTAGCCCGGTTGTTGTGCCGTTGAGTTAATTTTTCTGACTGGAACTTTTTGAAAAAAAAAAAAAGGAACCCTTGAGACCCAAGGATCCAAACATGGCCGTGTCCCAAAATTTACTCCATCTCGCCCCAGAGATGCGTACCTCGGCGTTGAAACACTTGTTGGCGTCCAGTGTCACCATCTCATTCTTACGGTTCTTAAGGGTGACCATGACCTTCCAGAGTGACGTTTGGACCGAAACCTGCGCCTGCGTGGCATTGTGAGATGAAAAGACACGCCCAAAGAGGCTAACCGCCGCGCCTTCGTCTTGCGCAGAAACCCGGCGACCCTCGGCCAGCCCCGGACACTACCCTCCGGGGGGACCGCTCCAGCCCGAGCCCCACTCGAGGAGCGCCCAGCGGAGGCCCGACGCCGGTGCGCGTCCCCCGTCCCCCCCGGCTCCCAGCATCGTCCCATCAAGGACGGAGGGCCCCCCGTTGCACCGGGGGCCCGAAGAGAGCCCGCCCCCGTTTGAGCCCCTGGCGGCACCCCCGCCGGGCGGGGGGCCGCACCCCCCCAACTACACAACGTCGGGCGTCAAGGCAGCCCTGGCCCAACTGCTGGAAGCGCAGGGCTTTCGGGTGAAGAAGCCCGGCCACTCAGGTATCCCAGTGCCGCCGCCGTCCCATTCACGCCACCACCACCAGCAGCAGGGCTTTGCGCCGGGGCCGCCACCGCCTTGCTCAGAGTCCCCCGAGGGGGACGCGCGCTTTGGGGACGGGGGGTTGCCTAGCCGGGCGTTTGCCCTGGAGCACCACAACTACTACGCCTTCTCGCCGCCGCAGCCCGGGGAGGCGAGCAGGAGGCCCCTCTTGGAGAGTCCCTCCGACGCGGCGAGGAGGCTGGGGCTCCTGAGAATCCCCCCGGCCCCCCGGGGAGCGCGGGGGGACGCGAGGAGGGGGCCCGTGTCGCCCCCCCCGCCCCACCTCGAGATGGAGGGCTACGCGATGCCGGCGGCCATGGAGGGAGGGTACGGGGAGCACGGACCCCCCTTTGCGGGGCGCCATCCCCCAATGCTGCAGCACTTCCAGGGGGGCGGGGCCCACCGCCTGTAGCGCCCGGGTTGCGGCGTCGGTTCTTTCCGTTTGTTCGGGAGGTACCGACCCCGCGTCTCGAGCGGACCAACTGAAACCGTAGCCTTCGTGGAGCCGCCGTAATTCCTCGCCGTAATGGGACGGGTCGCATCTCTTTCGGGCATCTTGGCTCCTTGCCCGTTTCGTGGGCCATATTCTTTCGGGACTGTGTGTAGCATTTTTTCTTTCTCTCTCGAAGCGGGGAAGGGTGAAGGTGGTCGTCCTTTCTACGGGCCCTGCAAGCGGGGATGCTTTTGCTACGTGATGTGATCCTCTGACTTTAGGTGAATGCCCTTGCCTCTTTGCACATTACTCGACGCTAAGGGAAAAGCTGCCCTTCCAGGGGAAGGATTTCGGAGGCCCGGTTTCTGCCGCAAGAGACGACCCTGCGAGCCTTATGTTCTTTGGAAGGCAAGGTGGCCTTCACTTTTCTTTTTTTTTTTTAAGATTTTTTTTAGAATATATATAAATTTGTGCTGTAAATATGTATGTACCGAAACTTGCCCGAACCTAAGGGACTGTTTTCTCTATCTAAATTGTGGGAGGAGTCTGTCTTTGCCGGATCAAAAAGCGGTAGGTGTGAATCTTGCCTCTCTGAGGGGCGTGAGAGCTTTTGCGGGGATTGGTGTGTGTGAACTCGACTGCTGTGTCCCCAACTCGAAGGAGAAGAGGAGACCGAGTTGGAAAAGAAACTGGCACGTGCCAGTGACACGGCCTGCCGGTTGACGTAAAGTTGTTTGCCTCGACGCGTGTTGCAAGGCCAAAGCGTGGCCAGTGGCCATTGCTCTGTGTAACTGTTTTCTGAGTAAAACCTGACCAAAAACAAAAAATGCACAGGACGTCACTCCTTTTATTTGGCATTTAAAAGAAACGCGAGTACACCGTACACCATCCATTTTTGGCCCGGGCGGTATCGGCGCGTCCTAAAGTCACCCTGCTTCACAAGCCACGAACGTCGTAAACAACCGCACATTTGCGCACACCTTTCCAGTTTCAAAGCACTTGGTGGAAACGGCGGCACAACATCGCCGTAAACATAGACTACGCATTTACGTTCTTGCCAAGAAGGCGGCGCAAGCTCGAAGCGAGAGACGGAGCCAGGATTGTAGCGTGGACGAGGGCAGGGTCCAGAAGTGTTAGGAAAAGAGAGCACAGCGGGGCACCACCGACGTCTTGACACCTTTCAGCCACCCGGAGAGTTTGGACGCCGCTTTTCGGCTCACCTGCGCTCCCGGAACAAGCCCGTCATCCTCGGCGCCATCGAGTCCTCCGCGGAAGTCACCGGCGACTGCGGCCTAGTTTTCAATGTGCCGATAGTAACTCCGGAAAGGACGGTGGCGGCGTGTCGTGTGCTCTCCCCGCGCCACTTGTGGATCTGTGGAGGACGGCGGGTGTTGGACGAGACTTTGTTTGCGGCAATGACGACGACGACGACAACGAGCGTTTGGAGCGGCGAGGAGATATTTGTGTCCTTCGGTTGTCTTTGCGTTGGCCGGGTGTCCTATAGGTAAGCGCTGCATTTCATCCTTTGAGCCCGAAGAACGGTTGTCGGTGTGTCCTGTGACTCTCTTAGCGTGCGAGGTAGCCTGCGCCTAGGGAAATGAATGTCCAAAAGAATAACAATGTTTTGCCGTTTCTTTTTGTTTGTTAGCACTGGGTGTATTTGTTTGCGTTTGCATGGTGAAATATGCGATGGAAGAAGCTGCACAAAAGGGAAAGTAAATTACGATTTAGTGGTGTCTTTGTTCAGAAGGTTACCTTGGTGCAAAGATTTATGGAATCGCTTGCATTCTTTTGAGGTGGCATTTCCTTTGTGGTTTTCTCCTGTTCTCTCCCATAATGCAATCCTTTAGCTTGTGTACTGTGATCTTTCCTAGGTCGCTAAACAATCCTTTAATTGGAAGTTCAAGTTTAAATTTGAAGGGCTTTTTTTTTCTCCTCTTTTTATATATGCTTAAGCTAGCATTTCCTGCACGAGTATGGAGCACCTTCACGTCGCTTCAAATCATCAGCAGAATTTCCCGTAAAGCTTTGGTCAAATCATGGCATGCACGAAATTACCCCCTAGTACAGTAGCCGTGTAATGCTTACAGCCATCTCGTTCGCAAGCATACCTTGATCCTTAGAAATGCCCTTGACGTGCATTGACTGGTGACACACGGGTGAGACTTTGGAAATCACCCACCATGTTTGTTGGATGATGAAGTGAAAATTTTCACGTGAATCACTAGCTTTCCTCCCCTTCAAAATGCTTCCCATTTTTTTAATAGTTGTGCCACTATTCGTTTCAGGAGCAAGGCTCTATACAAACAGCTGCAGAGGGAGGGTGTACAAGATACGGCTATGGGATGATTTGATCTGGTGTAAAGAAAGGTTGTAACCCTTTGCAAACCAAGAGAGAAATCATTTCTTGAGGCATTCTCCATCAGAAAAGATGTGTTGGCATGGTCTTGTCTCAAAATAATGTTTTCTATTCAGCTTTAATGCCTGTGTGATGGTTTCTTTGTGTTCCCAAGTGCTTTGAACTGGGTGTCGGAACAGACGCCGCCACTCGACACACGGCTACACCGACCTTGAACACGTCCTAACACACATCGGACATGCAGCACAATGCTAACTGGAATTTTGTACAGACACCATCAGTGTGCCGCCATTGAACTCTCGGACTGCTCGTATGCTCAAACATTAGGGTGTCAACTTCGCCTTGTTTTTTCCTTTTTTTTTTTTCTTCGCTTTTTTTTTTGTATTTGCTACCATCGCTGGAACCCTGTGCAAGGTGAGATGTGATGGTCAATACCATCCCTAGGTAAACGCATTAATGCTTCGTTACCTTATCAACTAGGTAAAGTTCAAAAAGTAAAAGAAGAAAAACAAAGGTACTGAAGGGGAGTAGAAGTTTATTGTCTGCAATCTTTGTGCACAAGCTTCAAAAAATTAAAGCACTTTTTTTTTTAAAGGTTTTGTGGCATTGCGCGAGCACATAATGAATTGGCCTAGGGAATCTCAAGCACAGTACTGCGGACAAAATACCCGGGAAATGAAGGTGGCTACAAGAATAACGAATGGCTTGACAAATCCCATTGTATGCTGTGGAAAAACACTTATTAGTTTGCCGTTTTCCGTGTAGAATAATTAACAAATCTGCGCCCGAGCGCTACACATCTTTCCCCAATGCAGAAGCATTCGATGGTTACGTGCATGTCTACTAATAGTGTGTGGGCCCATCTGGGCCGGTGTTCTCGACCATTGTCACCTGGAGTGTCGAACTCGAGTCCACGTTCAGGCGTCTGCGCATTTCGTTGGGAGTGATTTCTGCCAAGGTGCTGGTGGATCCAGTTCCGAGGGCATAGTTACATCCCTGCTATGTATATGGCGAGCTGCCTTTGCTGCACAGGAGTCCGAATCCCAGCTTAATATACTAATTCTCGGAGCGTTGCCCGCATCAAGCCCCAAGTCTTTTTTTTTTTTTTTTTTGGCTTGTGACGGTGTTTCGAATGCTTCCGAAATACCGACACAGCCCAGCGAAATATCGCTGGGTTGTGGACGCAGGCGCGGTGTCCGATAATGCGGAGAAGAGAGCTACTGCTCGTGGTCAGATTGGGTTTCACAGGCCAGTGGACAAAAAATGGTTCGATCATTAACTATCAAGCTTTCTCTCTCTCTCTTGTCATTGGCATAGCGTTGCACGCAGTACAGGCGAAGGCAACGCCAGGCGAGGGGAGAAAGCAAGCACCAGAAAGGCTGGGGAGAAGTAAAGAAATCTCTCTAACGTTCCTAGTGCTCTCCCTCTTCTCCCGTCCCGCCTTCCTAGTGGTCGCCCTTTCTCCGCCTGGCGTTGCCTTCGCCTGCACTGCGGACTAGTGACACAAAAATGTAGCTCTTTTTTTTTTTTTTTTTTTTCTCGTTTGTTTTTGGGCGCAGATGCGACTGGTTGCCTTCCCAAACGTTGGCATTGTCGCGTTCACGGCCGAAAAGGTTCCAGTCCCGAATGGACGCGCTGTCGGCTCCTGTTTGGAGACGTCTGGCATATTTTCTCGCGCGTGTAATCGTGTATAAAAAAAAAAAAAAAAAAAAATAGCCGCTGGCAAGGCGAGAACGGCAGGGCATCCTTTGGAATGCCCGACCTCCAGCACGCGCTCGTTGTCTTCTGCCCTGCTTTGGCTGCACGTGCAAGCCGCGGGTTACGAGACGCCCAAGCCGGAGGCGAGACAGCCGAGACTCCTCCCTCACGTTCTGATCCTGTCCGTGATCACTCGTAGCATTTTCGACTGACCTCGAGGTCCGCGTCCGCGTGACTTCGCGTCCGCGTCACGAAGGATCTCTGGTGGTTGAAAGAGGTCGTGATGGGTCGACTCCTCGGCACGTCGTCTGCTTACTGCAGAGTACAACCGGCGCCGGTGGTAAGGCCTTGGGTCGGGCTAGCGGGGCATAAAAAAAAAAAAAAAAAAAAAAAAAAAAATACTGGAGGACACTTGAGACTGCTTACGTGTAGGAATGCGGAAGCATTCCTACACGTGCGATGGACTGTGA